TTTAGTAGAGACGGGGTTTCACCATGTTGACCAGGATGGTCTCGATCTCTTGACCTCGTGATCCACCCACCTTGGCCTCCCAAAGTGCTGGGATTACAGGCGTGAGCCACCGCGCCCGGCCAGGAGTTTTTTTAAATGGAACTTTTTCTTCAAGTACAGTTATATTCATCATCTTAAGTAACCCAATATATAAGATAGTTTAAAGGGGAGCAGTTCTAGTCAAAGAGGAGGTAGGAGTTCCGGCTCTTCTTTTCCTAGGACAAACCCAGAGTCCTATGTGAGATTACCCCAAAGCCACATGAGTGGCATTTGAAAACTGCATGAGACATTGTAGCAATTGTAGCTAAATAATTTTTCAGATATGACTGATTTATGACTAGGACAATTGTGTGGACAGGGCATTTTTTTTAAATGCTAATATTTTAAGAAACTTTCAACTAGCACATTTAAAATATTATCACATGGCCGGGCATGGTGGCTTACACCAGTAATCTCAGCATTTTGGGAGGCTAAGGCAAGCAGGTCGTCTGAGGTCAGGAGTTCCAGACCAGCCTGACCAACATGGTGAAACCCCTTCTCTACTAGAAGTACACAAAAATTAGCCAGGCATGGTGGTGTGTGCCCGTAATCCCAGCTACTCGGGAGGTTGAGGCAGGAGAATCACTTGAATCCAGAAGGTTACAGTGAGCCAAGGTGGCGCCACTGCACTCCAGCCTGGGCAACAGAGTGGGACTCCGTCTCAAAATAAATAAATAAGTAAAACATTACTACAAACTCCAAGAGATAATTTCTCTCCCACCTTATATAAAACTTCAAACACAGAGTGTCCACCTTGAAGAGGAGCACTGCTTTCAGCCCGACTGATGTTTGATGTGCCACTGCACTCAGCCTGGGGGACAGACCAAAAGCAAAACTCTGTCTCAGAAAAAAAAATTCTGTGTGTGCGTGTGTGTGTTGTGTTGAGAGTATTTAGGATCTATTCTCTCAGTAAATTTCAAGTGTACAATGCTTTATGATTAACTGTGGTCATCATGCTGTACATTAGGTCAGCTGATAACTGTCAGTTTGTACCCTTCGACCCTGTCTGTGCATTTCCCTACCCCAGACCCTGGAAACCTCCCTCGTACTCTGTTTCTGTGGGTAGGAGTGAAGCGCGTACCGATGTGGAACACAGGCTCAGTGAAAGAAGCCAGTCACAGAGACCACATAAGCTATGAATCCTCTCACACGAAATGTTTCGGAAAACCAAATCTAGAGGAACCAAAAGATTAGTGGCGGGCTGCTGTGGGAGTGGCAAAGGAGAGGGAATGCACAGGGGACTCTCTGGGGTTAAGGGACATTGGATTGTGGTGGAGCTTACACAACTCTAAATTCACCAAATCTCATCGAATTCAGTACTTTTTGGGTTTTTTTTTTTTTTTTTTTT